GATGCATTCCAAAGGAACTCAGACAGCAAAGGAAGAGATGGAAATGGATCCAAAGCCTGACTTAGATTCAGATTCCTGGTGCCTCCTGGGAACAGACTCCTGTCGACCCAGCCTCTAGTCTCCTAAGCCTTACAGCCTCCAGGAAACTGGGATCCAAAGACCTTCACAGCACACTTACTGAATGCAGAGAGCGCTTTCCTGGCTTCATTCACTTGCAGACAAGGAGCGCAAGGCAGAGGCTCTGAAGCACTTTCCATGTACACTTGGAGAGTAGCATTGCCTATTAGATAGGATCTAGGAGTGATTTTGTGTTGGAAAATGGAAGGGCCCCGTGGCCCTGGCTCTGTCCTCAGTGACTGCCATAGCAACAGCAGCTCTGTACCTCATCTGGTGATCCCACCTTTGAAGAGGAGACACAATGCTCACCTTAATTTTGCTGGTAGCAGCTTATATCCCATTTGTCATTTTCACCATGAATTGGAAGCTGCCTTAGGAATTCAACACCAGGCATTGCACCTCTGGGTGGAGGAGGTTAAAGTGTAAAGCTGGAGTGGGCTGGAACCAGTGTGGCCCATCCAGGGTCATCTGGAGAGTGGTAAAGTGTTCTAAGCCCTCTCAGGAGCCGGAGTCCAGGAAAATATGTCTGGTGGAGTCAATCTGGGGCTTGTTTTCAGAAAGTTCAATTACTTTGTGCAGCTAAATGCTTTAGGAGGAGAAGTAGATTAGATTGCTTTTCCTCTGAGGGTTGATTGAAATTTCTTCAGTGAGGAGTAGAGAAAGAAGGGCAGGTCCTTCCTCATCACACAGCAGGAGTTTCAGGCTGGTGCAGTGTGGGATTTCCTAGGTTTGGAAGATACCTCTAAGAGATGAGGCATCTTGCAGAGAATTAAGTCAGTAGGAACAGACAAGAGAAAACCATGAGGGGAGGTCCTCCTTTATATGCCTCTACTTGGTATCTTCAAGAGAGCCTAGAGTGACTGAGTCTTCTGCCCAAGAAGGCTTCTTGTGCCTCTGCCTTTGTGGCTCTTAGGGTTCTAATCTTGACAGCAGCCCCAACCACTCCCTTTCTGTATGTCTAGTCAGTATTTTTCCCCTTTTGGAATTTTATGAAGCCATATCAGTGAATATGCATCATCTTTCCTACTTGAGTGGCCCAAAGCCAGCACCAAAACCTGGTAGTCCCTGAAGCCTAACAGTACAAGAGGAACCTGCCAAGTGAGAGGAATTTGGCTGAGAGATCCCTTCTGATCCATGTGTCTTCATGTCCTTGTAGACAGGAGCAAGCTAAGCTTTCCTGAAGAGAGAAAGTGTCCTAGAAACATTTGATGGTTCTACTTAAGGATGTGAGCTATGTGTTTCCACCTCTAACCTTTGGAATGTTCCTTTAGTATCTTGGGTCACAGGAACTGCCTTAATGAGTGTCACATCCTACCTCCCTAGAAACAGCTAGATTAATTTTTGTTTTATTTTCTGGAACCAAAAAATGAATGTTTGATATCTGTTTAATGTTTTGGGAGGACCTGTGCAATGGAAATTTTTGCTATTTCCCTAAAACTGATGGTGTAAAGGCTGCTGCTCTGGGAAAACCCCGCAGCTGGGGATGGGCAACTCTATTCAATGGGATCTTCTTTGGTTTGATATTCCCATTGTTTTCTCAATTCTGGGAAGCCTAGTACAATGGTACTAATGTAATCACCGAAGCCTTTTCTTAAAATAAGGGAAGGGGCCAACCCTGGATTAAAGTTACAAGTTCTGGGGACTTGGGGGTTTGCTACAAACCCTAACAATGGGTTTTGGTTCATCATGTAAATGCAACTTTGATTTTTTTTTTTTTTTTTTTTTTAAGGACTGACTGGCCTTTCACGTTCCTGTATCCCTCATGCTCACCATCTCAGCAGGCCTGAGAGGCAGGGTCTGTTTGGTTGTTAATCATGAGTATTGCTTCTGCCATGGAACTGAGGAACATGGGCACGTTGCTGAGACTGTGGGATGAAAGTGAGCATTGAAGAGAGGGTGAGAGCCCTTCTCTGGCTCCAGAGGGGGAATCACTCTCTAGCAGTGGAACGCTGGGGTCATTTTCTCTAGCACGTTCCCTTGAGAAGTTTACGTTTGCTGTTAATCTGGCTGAGAATCTAAGTTCTGTGCCTTAGAGACAATTTGCACTTTCCCAAATTGTGCCTGGGACAGCCATACGATTTTACCCACCAAAAAGCTATGCAAATAGAAACCAGTTCAAAGGTGGCAGCCACACATCAGATAAAAAGTGGAAGGTGAAGCATCAGAAATGCCTTTGAATGGTTTTCTCTAGCTCATTCTCTTAAATTGTGTCCTATTTTTCTTTTTTATGTAGTGCTAGGTGTTTTAAGTTTTCCAGTAGTATTGCTTTTGAGTTATAGTATAACCTGAGTTACTCCTCTGCTCTGACATTGTTGCTGAAGAATTAGCTTATTGTTAGCCAGATGTTTGAAAGGTTGAGGGTGGAGTGGTTTGGCATTTCTGTTTTAAATAAACATTTAAACTCTCAATCAGTGCTATGCCTCAGTAAGCCTGCGTATGGACCTTTGTCACTGGGGATAAAACACCCAGACTCTAGGCCTTCACGAATCTTTGATTCAATGAGTCTTAATATAAATAAATTGATGGTCTTATAACAGAAACAATGCAAGGGACATTTGCACAAAAATAATCTTTGCTTCTTCCCAGTTTCTTTTTCTTGCTAACAATCATTTCTGCTACTACAACTTTTTTCCCATAAAAACTTTGAAAATGCTTAAGATACAGAGGGAGGAAAAAAAATGAGTCATTAAAAGAGGAAGGGACACATCTTGTACTTACCTCCTTAGTCATAGTCAGCTTTTTCAAATGATGATGCCAGTTTGTGTTTGTAAAACTGTTTTCCCTCAAAGAGACTGAACTGCATTTGGTCTCCCTGGCATAGCACAGCCAAGTTATGACTTCTCTTGGCTGAACATTTCACTAAAATTTAAAGCAAGAACAGCCTTAAACTCACATTTCATTTGGTTTTGCCATATATTTGGAAACATTTATAATAGAACAACTCTGAAGCAAGGATGTACTGTAAATAAATTCTTTCAAATAGCATCCCTGGCCCTCCAAAGAAGTATTATTCATGATAGTGTCAGGGCAGAGCAGGCTGTAGTTAGGACTACAAAACATGTTCCTTCCTGCCACAAAGCCAAAAATCATTTATTGCTTCAGTGATTAACTGTGGAAATAAACATGCTGATCACTAAACCTCACAGAATAATGAGCATTAGGGAGAAAAACACTATATCACATCTCTGCTACCTCCTTTGTAGCTGTGAAAAGTGCAAAAATTAATGACTTAAAGCAAATGTTAGCCAAAGATGCTGTGCTGCATTCAGTATACTGCTGTTAATACTGTCTCAGCGCATCCGCGTACTTTTCAACGAAGTGAGTTTCACCATGAGATTTTTCCCATTGCTTAACCTTTTGAACTTTAAAATTTATAGCCTTTACTTGCACTGAAGATTTTTGGATAAAGCAGTATAACACATGGACATTAACAAGCAGCATTTTTTACCCTCTGTCATCCTCTGCTATCCAGGAAGAGACTTAAGATAGAAAAAGGGTTTTTCTTCCCAAAGAGCCAGTCAAGCTAAATTCGAAGGCCAATAAATATTCCTGATATAATGAAGCCCTAAACATGTTGAGATCGAAGGGAACATTATGACATTGACTGTTTCTCTAGCAATATAAGAATAACACTTTCTGTGTCTATAGAAGGTATTCCCCTCCCCCACACACATTTATTCTCCCTGGAGGCCCCTGGTCTGTGACCTTTACAACCTCCTCTAGGGGTTACAAACCAGGCAGACAAGGCAAATAAGGGAAGCAGGCCAGGCAGGGCTGTGGTGATCTGAGTGCCTCACTCCATCTGGAAGGAGAAACTGATTCTGAACCCCACTCAGTTGGTGCTATGCAGGATAGCTGGCCCAGGGTTTCCAGAGTTTCCAGTTTTTCAAGACAAGCTCCATATCCCATATTTTTAATATTGGATTAAATTTTTAATGCTATGCCAGTCAAATAAAACATATCTGTGGGGCAAAGCAGTCCACAGGCTACCACTTTGTGACCTTGGCCACTGCTCATTCTTGTCCTCTATTGCGTTTACCATCAAATGTGAAACTTAAAGTGGGTACTTCATTAAACTTGCCTGGGGATGTATATATTGGGTTAAATATCCAGTGTCTCTTTGTGAGGTTTCTTTAAAGGCCAACCAAAGGCCCCATTATATGATACTTCCTTTTCTTTGTAACAATTAAGAAGAGCATAAAGCAATATGTGCTATTTTTTTAATATGTAATTTTTTTCAGCCTAGTGTCCTGCAGCTTCACAGCTAAAGCCTTAAACTCACATCAAATTGGTCTGATCTGTTAGCCCAGCCACTCAGCAGAAGGTGCAGAGGAAATGGAACAAGAGTGAGTGCCAGCTGTTGTTCAGCAAATACAGTTTTGTTGTCTGCCTTTGCCTAGGTCAGGTTGGGTAATTTTTTCTCCAGTATTTTAAACTAACAATTTGAGTGATGCTCTCAGGACAATAATCTTACTAATATTTCAGATCTGTTGTGCTGGCTTCATCTGCCTGAACTGATATTACCCCCATCAGACCTTACCTTATCACTTCTCCCATTTGATAAGTCTAGGACTCAACTCATTTTATTATTTTGAAATCCCCCAAACCCATTTATTGAGAGCCTAATTATGAAGGTTACTTGCACTAGACACAATTCTGTCCAGAGAAAATTTTAAAGATCTAGTACCTCTTCCTTTAAAGTTTACTTTCTAAAATAGAAGTTTACTGTAGTATAATTGGCAGGGACAAGTGACACTGCAGTATCCCAGCTTGCTTTGATGGTAGATTTTGCTGCCTCATTTAGGAAGTCATCCAGCCAGCCTGATTTGAAAGCAGAGTGCTAGCAATAGCTGACACTGAAGTTCCTTCCTCCCCCAACTGCCTTTTTTTTTTTGACATATGAAATCCATTAGGAAAGAACAACTACAGAGACACAATGTGCTTTCCTCCATCCCTACCCTGTAAAGTACATAAAGATGAGGTTCACTGTATTACACAGTACATCGGGAGGGTTTAGGATATACTGGCGCCCTAACCTTCCATACTTGTATTGGCTTTTGGCCAGGACCATGTACCAGAGAGGTCATTTGCCTTACAGCAAAATTGTATTATTTTTTACAAGAGATACCATGATCCTCTGACACCAGCTCATCCTAAAAAGCCAACTTCTTGCAAGAACAAGAAGAGTTAACAGGAATCACAGACATACATGCAGAGGCAGTGGCAAGACAGCACAGCAAATGCAGGCACTTAACCAGCACAAACCACAAGTCAGGCTTGCAAGAGGAGAGCTTTAATGTAGACTCCTTGCTACTCTTACGTGTCTTCACCTATCAGTTCTTAGGATAATAACATAAGGCACATCAGCCTGAGGTGGTGATTTAATGGGAAGCTGAGGCTTCCTTCCATCTCCTGCTGCTTAGCAGTGGGTCTCTCCTCACTGATTTCAGCTCTGCAGGCAGATCTGGGAGATGTCAAAGTTTCAGTTCTTTCTGCTCTGCATCAGATTATTTTACTCCCATTTACTGCTGAAGAGAAGCAGAGCCTTCTTTACTATTGAGGTTTCCACTGCTGTCTGCTCAACTGTAATGCTTCCTTGGAGGCGGAGGACGGTTCCTGATGGTCTTACACTTGGGAATGTGCCGCTCAGCCACCTTGGGAGCAAAGTGGCGGCTACAGTGAGGACACTGAATATAGTCTGGATTTTCTGCAGGCAGAATGGGAGGCAGATCTGAGGGGTTTCCACCTTTGGCAATTACCTGCTGGATCTCTCGAGCCTGACGGAGGGTACGGATGAAAGATTCATGCTTCTGTCTCCAGTTGCTCTTCCTAGGAGGTTCAGCCTGTAAGTTGAAGGAAGACTGATTGTTGAACTTGGCATTTATCTCATCCCCTTCCTAAGACTCCATTAGAATGACAGTAAGTTAATCTATGAGGTCAGAGAGAACAGGAAAGGAGCAACAATGATAATTGACTTGCCAGAGTGGAGGCACTTAAACTAAGGGCCTGCAAAGGGGGACAGTACCGAGAGGCAAGCCGGTTTTCCCAGCAGAACCCCTGAGAGGCTCAGTGCTTGGAAGTACAGGTAGTGGAAAAGGGGGAGGTGCAGGGCTGCAAATAGGCTGGCCCCTAGGGCTCCTTTTCCACCTTGCACATCCAAGTGTCCAACACTTCCAGCACCCTCTCTGGAGAAGTTGAACCAAACAGGTTTCAGACTCAAGACACCCAGGCATAATGGAGAACAGGGCTAATCTAGGGGCTGAAAATGGGGGTTAAGTGCAAGTGTACATGATAGATTATGGAACTGTCAGCCTCCTTTCCTCACTCAGCTCTGAGAGTACCGGGCACATTGGCACTCTCATAGGAGTCAAGACTTTTCTGGATGCACCAAACAGTGGGGAGAAAAGCCATCAGATGCTGACTCTGAGAGACCCCAATTAAAAGGCTCACGATTTGATAATCCTAATATGAAGTCCCTCACAGTCAACAAGCCCCACCCACTAAGCTTAAATCTAAGTGGACAGTCAGGGATCACAAGATATGAGTAAAGCTCTAACAAGGGAGAGATCAAAACAAGTACATTAATACACACATGCACACACACTCAGGAAGCAACAACAAGGCAGGTAGCAGAAGGGAATCTCATCTTTATATACTTTAAAGGGTAGGGACAGGGGAAAGCACACTGTGTCTCTGTAGCTGTTCTTTTCTAATGAATTTCATATGTCAAGAAAAAAAAAAGGGAAGGAACTTCAGTTTCAGATATTGCTAGTACTCTGCTTTCAAATCAGTTTGGCTGGATGACTTTTTAAATCTACCATCAAAGCAAGCTGGGATACTGCAGTGTCACAAGTCCCTGCCAATTACATATAGTAATAAACAAAGAAGTATTAGAAGAGATTGTATATATAAAGAATATGCTATGAAAAAGGAAAGAGAGAACCAGAAAGAATTATAATAAATTAATACTGTAATAGCTAAAAAAAGAAATGTTGTATAATAATGTCAAAAAATTACACAGAATGGGAAAAAGGATCAAAATGGAAAGCAGGGGGAAAAGGGATTGGAAAACTAGAAAGTCAATCCAGGAAGTCCAACACCTGACCAGCAGGAGTTCCAAAAAGAACAAAGGAAGCACAAGGAGGAAATTATTGAAGAAGTAAGACAATGAACATTCCTAGAATTAAGACTGAAATGCTCTACCAAGTATCCAACACAGTCATTGTAAAATTTCAGAATTTCAGAATAAAGTGAGAATCCTGTAAGCTTTTAGGAAAAGAAAAAAACCAAAATGGGTTTCATATAATGGAGCAGGAATCAAAATGACATCAGATTTCTCAACAGTAACACTGGGTGCTAAAAGCTAGTGGAAAATGCCATAAAAGTTCTAACAGAAAATTATTTCCCGCCTAGAGTACTCTACCTGGCCAAATCATCAACCAAATATAAGGAATGATATACAGATATTTTCATTCATACCAAGACAAAAAATATGCCTCCCATGCACCTTTCTTAGTAAGCTTCAGCAAAGCAAGGAGTGAAGCTAGGAAAAGGAAGACACAGGATGCTAGAAACAGGAGAGAAGCAAAAAGAAGTCCCAAGACAACAGGTCTGGAGAACCAGTTTGACTGGAGCAAGAAGAAAAACAGTGGTGGGAAGGAGGTTTCCAGAATTTAGGGGGGAAAAAACTGATGGAATATGAGAGGTGTTTGAGCATTTACAAAAATATTAACAGGTACCTGACATCAGATGGATCATTTAGGGGAAAAAGTTACAGATAGGTATGTAGGAAACCAACCAAATGAAAACATGAGTCAATTATTAACTCCAGGTGCATGTGGGCAGGGGCAGAATCTGTTCAACCAGTGAACAAAATGTATGTGGTTATTTTCATGTAAAAGCTGACTACTGGTTTAACCCAAAATTGTGATTCTACTACGATGGAAGGGTAAGGGAAGGAGAAAAGTGGGAGGAGAGGGGATATGAAAGAGAGTTTAACCCATAAGAGGAAGTCAACAGATGATGTCCAAAATTTATCAATCAAGAAAATAAGCAAATTATTTAGAAATATGGAAATGCATATCAGAACTGAAGGCTGCCTGCCTTTGGGGGCTAGATGATGGGCGGGAGAGGGATGAGGCAGAATACTGTTGATCTGCATTATAGGTCACTTTGTACTACATGATTTTTAAAATGTATTCAAATATTATTCAGATTAAAATAAAATTTAATTTTTAAAAGAAGAAAACAGAAGGCAGGTAGCTGCTTAGCGAACTAACATCGTTAATGGTGAATAATGGAGATGTTATCAAAGGAAGAGGAAGGATCCATCATGAGAGTCTTACTGAAACAGACAAGGCAAGAGAATCAGTGTGTGAGAGACGGTATCCAGGAACCTTTAGAACTGAATTAGGGGAAAGTTCCTCAACTATATGATACTTAAACTTTAATTCTGCATTGTATTGAAATTTATTCAGTTAACACTTATTAACCACAAAGCACAAAGATGTAGTCTCTGTGCTCAAATGCGTAAGATCCAGTAGAGAGACCAGAAGTATGAGTCTGCCAGAAGTTATGTGATATTAAATGATACTAGGAAAATCACCTGTTCTTGCGAGTACACTGGAGGAGTGACAGACACAAACCACTTAGCTTCCAAAGGCACAAAGCTTTGGAATAAGACTTGGGACATTCCAAGAAGGGGAGTGCATCGCAAGCCAGATCCTTTCTGCCTCAGTGTCCTAAATGCAATGTATTTCCTCAAACTAGTTTTCACAAAGCTAAAGCCTCTGATCTCAGAAACCCAATTCTTTTGCTTCACTGCTACTGTATTTAGGAATTTAAGAAACACAAGGTTCTTTTAGGTTCTGGCCAGAAATAAACCACTATAGTGAGAGAATACCCCAGTCGATTATTGGACTGACCAGAAAGAAAACAGGAAAGAACAGGAACTGGTGATCACGTCATTATCTGCAAGAGCAAAATGTTGACTTCTCATTGGAAACTGGATTTCAGGAAGATCATCTCTGAACGTGGAAGGGACTATCTTTTGGTGATCTCCCGAATTGTACTGAAAGAAATAACTTAACTGCAAAAGACTTCTCCTAACAGCCATCACATAAATATAGGCCCCAGAAAATACTCACATAAACTCTAAAGTGCTAATGAACAAGAGGTGCTAGTGCAGCAGTTGGAGGGTTGGAAAGAAATGAAAATAGAATAACATTCTCATAGTTTACGAGACTATTAGAGTTGGATGGGGCTTTGAATTTATGTGGTCTAGGCTTTCCCACACTTCATTTGCATACCACTTTCACTTTATCCCCCTTACTGTTACTCAATTTTTCTTTAAATGCATGATTCTTAGAAATCAAGGGCCTACTATGTTTTGTATTTCCAATACACATTAAAATTACTAAAATAAAAAATGCTTGTCAGCATGCTACATTTAGAGAAACACTCTAAAACACACCAAGTGGTATCAGCCTGACAGGGTGGTAAACTTATTCACAAGACAGTCTTCTCTGGATCTGGCTGTCCAGAAGTTACCCCCAAATTATGGTAGTGTCTCAGAGTTCTTACTTTTTACAACCTAGTTTTTCTGCAGCTAGGAATGTTCACAAGGAATAAAGCTCTCTACTTTTAAGGTGTTTACACTTTAAACGGGGAGAGAAAGAATTCCAAACTTAATTGTGTTTCATGTATTTACTAAGAAGGGGTATCAAAATTAAGCTAATCTAGAAAAAGTAGATGCAGTTATAGGAGTGGTAACACCTCCTCATCTTGGGAGGTGGCAGAGTATGTTGCAAAGAAAGGAATTCTCTCAGGGTGATGAAATGCATAATTTTTTTCTTTATATGTTTCATGTCTCTTAAATTTCCTACAGGAAATGTTTATTACCTCTGTAATCAAAAGGATATATATATTTTTTAAGTCTAGATTTTGGAGTCATTCTGACTCAGATTTATATGCTGATTCTGTAATTTAAAGCTGTTTGTGATCTCAAGCAAGTTAACCTCTCTGATTTTTTAATTGATTTTTGAATTGATAAGAGATAATAAATCTTCACATAGTTGTGGTGAGGATCATATGAAAAGCTCCCATCACAGTGACTGGTAAACAGTGGTAATCAATAAATGCTAATTTTTGCTTTCTCCCTACATGACACATGAAATTTTTCTAAAGAGAACTGATAAGGCTATAACAGGCCCTTACAATGATTCCCCACTCAAAAGCAAATCTATAAGGCCCTTGTTACCTTGACAGAGGCTGTTCCCTTCCAGTTCAAGTACTGCTCTAGTTCTGTGCCCTTGGCCCGGGCCCTGGAGGAGTCAAATACTTTCCTCTTGGAACCCTGCATCCTGCTGCAGACGTTGGAGTGTCTCTCCAACCTAAGCAAGAGAAACTTTCGTCCACAGTGGCTGCACTCTCCCAGTTCTGGCTCTTTAGTGGAACAGCTGGAACCCGAGGAGTCTGGTGCCCTAGGCGAGCTAGAATTGCTGGTGGCTCCTTGAAAAGCACTGTGTGGCACTTCTGAAGCCTGAGAAAACTTCTCCTCCTTCAATGACCCTGAGGCTCGGTCTCGGATTTTGTTATTGCTTGCCATCAAGCTTTCCCTTTTGAGCTTCTGAATTCCATACTCAGAGGCCTGGAATGGACCAGAATTTTCTTGACACCATCTCCAAGTTTCATCCCCTCCCTTGTCTCTACTGAAGACCTCCTCAGACCCGAATTCTGGGGAGAAGATAGGTTTGTATGTGGTCTTGCTGTTACCTTTAACTCTCCTGCTGGGGAGTGCCATTCTCTGTAGCTCTCTTTTTTCATTTTCCTCAGCCTGTTCCTTTTCTTTCTGGATCCTTCTTAGTTCTTCCTCTGTTTTCTTCAGCTTTTCCCTCAGAAGGGTCTCTTTTCTTCGGATTTCCTCTTCTAAGCTCTCCCCTGCAGCTTCTAGTCTTTGGATTTGCATCCACTCAGTTCTGTTGGGGTTTGCCATGACCCTCTCTTCCTGAGTGGCAGCAACTGTACCAATCACAGATGAATAAACCCATTTTCTCGAACCAAAGTTACTGTATGAAAACTCTCTAGGCTCAGGGGGCCTTGGAGAGACATTCTGGTCCCCATCAGTGTCAGCCTCACCCGTATGATGGGACTTCCGATGAAACACAGGTTTCAGTGGGTATGCCCGGTCCACTCCAACTCGCTTCTTTGTAAAGGGGATGAATTCCTTGCTATTTGTTTTGGGATACCAGGGTTGAAGGCCCGATGAGTAAAGCAAACCCTTTGTTTGGCCCTGGGGATTGCTTCTCGAATCTTGCTGGCTGATTCCAGCACAGCAGGGATAGGAGTAGCCTCGGGCTTTTGTGCAGGTGTTCCATTTGGGGTGAGTGTAGAGATTATCCAGTGTCAGCTCTTCTTCACTCAAAAGCTTCTGCTGGAAATTGTTCCTCATGTGCCCCATAGAGGAATGCTGGAGAGAGTCACCTTTTTCATAGGGCTCTTGCTTAGCTGAATGGAGCCTTGGAGCTTCTGTTTTATTATATGGGAGCATAACGCCCACAGGCAGAGGCGGCGCCAACCGGAGACCAGCCATTCAGGGCTTGGACTGAAGCCTAGGGGAGATTTAAACCAGACATATGTGAGGAGTTTGTTTGAGGTTCACCTCGCTGTTCCTATATTTGTCCTACCCACATTTTCCCTCAGACATTTTAGGGACAGTGCTGCTGGGTCTGCCAGAGCTTTCACTCAGTAAGCATTTGGTGAGCGCTTATTATGTCCTGTGAGTGCTCATTAGGCCCCGAGGAAAGAAAAATCAATCTGATAGAGGAGTTCCTGCCACCTCACTTTCCTTTACATCAGTACCAGCTTCTGCCATACAGTGACATTCCTGCATATACAGTATACTCCGTAGCAGGTGCAAAAAGCTATGGAATTGAAAGTCAGTTTTTAGGCCTGTGACACAGAACAAGCAGCCACCCCTCACTAGCTTCAGTTTCTTCACCCGTAAACCGAGGGTTCGCTCAGAGTTTCATGACTGTAATTTAGGAACCTGAGGACTCTGAGTCCAGTTCCATCACTTTACAGGCAAGAAAACTGCGGCCCATTGGTAAGTGACTGGCAGAAAGAGCTCTCAGGGCTTCTCTCATGTTGGAACCGTGCTTGACCCCAAAGAGAACAGAGCCCACTTAGGACCTGCAGCAGGTGCGTGGCTGACAAACTCTCACCCAAGGAGTCCCCGCGGCGAACACGGAGGAAAGTCTGTAACCTGAGAGGCGGGGACCACCTGAACTGGCCGCTGCCGGTTTTAGATCTGGAATGCGAAAGCCGAGTTCTGTCCTGAAGGGTCAGCCGGGGCGCCCCCACCGGAGATTCCGCTTTGGGGACAAGCCCTCGCTCTTCGGTCCGTCGGGCCTTTGAGAGGTCTAGGTGCTGACCCCATGTCTTGCCGCCCTTCCGTGTACCTGAGGCTCGCTGCGACCGTTTCTGCTCAGGGGAAACTCCAAAACTTAGTTTTCCCGACCAAACACCCGCCAACAACCGACAGCCGCGCACGCGCGCTCAGCGGGCCTCTGTTATTCCCGTTGCCTGGAGACGGAAGCGCATGCGCGCCCGGCCCTACCTCGCCGAGAATTCCGCTAGGGCAGCGTGCGCAGGCGCAGTCCGCACACGAACTGGAGCTGCCAGGGTAGCGGGCGCGGTCAACCAGAGAGTCACTTGACCCGGTGTCCTGCCAAGTCTGCAGCTTCGTCCAGCCCTGCCCTTAGGGAATGGAGAAGGGGGTGTGAGAGGATTTTCTGAGGCTCTATCAAAGAGTTTGTATTTTTTTCAGGGAGATGCTCTCAGATCCTGGGGTGTGCCCTCCTCTGGCAAAGGACGGAGCCCCTAGTTGTGCCTTCGGGTCATTCTGCCGCAGGATTCCGGTATTGGCCTACTTAGCCGGAGTAGGCCTGCTGATAGCCTTTCTTAGCACGCTCAGCTGCTTTGTAAGGGCTCCAGGTACGGCTGTATACTCTCTCTCATGCTTTTCCTTGTAAACAGTTTGGAGCTTGCTCAAATTTTAGCAACTTATTTAGGTTTTGCTACGCAGTGTCTTTTCCGCAGTATCTCTTATGTAGCCAATCTAATTATTTTGATATAATGTTTTACGAGAGTTACCTGGTAACTCTGGCTCTCTCTTCTCAAGGCCCGAGAATGACTCAGCCAGCTGTAATAATAATAAAGTTAACTACCAGGTCGAAAATACTCAGTATAACCTGGTTTCAACACTAAAGATACTCTATAACTTGTTAACATCAGAAAAGACTTTGTCTTCATGTTTCAGTTCATCTGTGTAAGCTGTTTGGAACAGGCTGCTTACTTTTCTCCCTGTAAACTACTAAAAAGATTCATGCACATGGAAAATAATAATAGACAGCAGTGGTCGGTGTTAATACTTCAACATGTCATATTACAGCTTTTACAAGTTAAAAAGAAATTCCTTGGTGGCGCTCCAGGGCAGTCCTTTTATGCCTTGTTTTCTTTTCTAGTTGACTCTCTTCTGCCTTCTTTCTGTATGCACTTCCAGACATTTCCCACTCTTTTCAAGTTTCCAATTATCTCAGCATCGGGCTTGCCTGTCATCAACTGGAAAAGCTACCCCCTGCCCCCAAGTCTGGCAGAATTTCCCAGGGTGCCTCCCTCCAACTTGACTTCTGTTCTTGTTTCTGAGAATGAAGAATCTTTGTCTTTCCATGAGTTCTCTTGAATTGGTCTTTTTCAGTACCCTCCAGAAATTGACTCACTTTACCCCTCCATCTTGTTAACTTCAAGTTGTACCTGTTCACACACTCCTTCTCTTTGGTTTTAAAATATGCTTAACTTTCCCCAGCAAAACAAACCCCATTTCCCGTAACCTGACCTCTCACCTTAGGGACCCATTCATTTCTTCTGTTCTCCACAAAACTTCTTAATAGAAAATTTTACATTTGCTGCCCCTGACTTCCTCATCTCCCCTTCATTGTCCAGTCCCTTGTGGTCTGGCCCCCACTTTCTACTTTATGCAACTGCCAGGCTACCAGTGACCTTCCAATGACCAAAGACAAAAGCTGCTATTTCTTCAGCCTACTCATTTTCAATTTATTGACTTTTTCTCCCTTGGAATTCTTCTCACTTACTCCTGTGCCTTCTTGGTTTCTTCTTTCATGTCCTTACTCCTTCTTCTTACAGGCAGCTGGCATTTATGTCTTTTCCTTACCTGCCCTTTCCCACCTCACCCCCAAATTTAGGAGTTTCTCATATAAAGGCAGTTCCAGACATTCTCTTCCATAATGATTTCAACCTAATGCTGAAATTTCAGGTCTTACCTATGTTTAAATGATATCTCACTTAGCTCTCTCTCCTAGTTACAGACTTAAATTTCCGACTACCCATGTAGCACCTCCACATGAATGTTCCTCAGGAACCTCAGTATGACAGATAACAAATTCATGATCACTTCCCTATGCCCCGAGCCACTTTTCTTCAGTGTTCCCTCTATGCTGAAAGCAGCAGTCGTCTTCCACTTCTCCCTCTTTGTCACCCCTTCTCTCTAACTGGTCAGCAGGACTGTTGAATTTACTCTGCAATGTCTCTTATATATGACCCTTCCTTTACATTTCTAGTGCCCTAGGTGAGTTCTTCCCTATGTCTCATTGGATGGCACCACTCTCCTAACTGCTATTCATCTGCTCTCCAAGCCCATCCTCCATGCTGCTGCCAAAATAATTATCCTAAATATTTCTGATCCTATCATTCTCCTACACAGTGGCTTGTTCTTTACCTATAAAGCTGAAGCGTGTAATTTAACATGGTATTTCAACTTGCCAGGTTATTTAGGTTCAGCCTCCCTTTCCAGCCTTGCCTCCTCAGAGTCTAGTTCAGGGGCTTTCAACCCTGACTGTGCTTTAGGACCCCCTCAAAAGCAGTTTCTAGGGGGTAAGACCTGGGAATCAGTATTTTTAAGAGCTTCTCCCAAGATCCTTTGTGCAGCCAGGGTTGAGAACCCTTTGTCCAGCCACACCTGACTACTTGTACTTTTTTACCTCAGTGATACTGGACAGGACAGGACAGGAGGGAAGGGGACAGGTGCAACCATTAAAAGAATGACATAGCCATCGAAGATATGACAAAAACTGGTTAGAACCAACTAGAACCAACAAGATGGCCAAAGGTTGGACTTCCAGAAGACCCTGAGCCTCATTATATGCTCATTGTAATAAGTGGCATGCTAAATGACACACCCACAGGCTCCATGACAGTTCTGAGGCTGACCATAAAAGTCCAAAAAGTTGGCAGTGGCCCAATTCCTGGAAATCCCTGCCCCTTCCCCTAAATAGTTGAAATAATCCTCCCACACGTTAGCATATGAAATTACCCAGTCCATAAAAACGAAACATCCCCACACCCCAGGGCCTCATGCCTTCTGAGATGGTGTGCACTCTGTCTATGGAGTGTGTATCTCTCTAAATAAACTTAATTTCACTTCGCTGTGGCTTGCTCTTGAATTCTTTCCTGCATGAAGCCAAGGACCCTTGGTGGGGCATGTCTCAGGGACCATGACCATCCTCTTGTGCCCCATTTTCCTGCAATAGTACTATGCTACTTCAAACTCCTGGGAGTGGTAGAGCATAACAGCATTCATGGGAGTAGGCGCTGTACTCAGACTGCCTGGAACTAAATCCCAGCTCCATCACTTACTGTTTGTAGTTGTGTAACCTTGGATAATATGCTGGTTCCTCTGAGAACACTTTCTCAGTCTTCCCAGTCAGAATGAATCTCTCTGATCCTTTGTGCTCTTATAATATTTTCTGTCCTTGTTATAGCCCACAGCAGGGTCATAATGAGCTCTCAATGGATGTTGATGAAATTGAATTAGCATTCTGTGCACTGTATTGTCATTATCTGCATGCATATTTGTCCCTTACACTAAATTAAAAAACTCTTTGAGGACAAAGATTATGTACCATTTATTTTTGTATATCTTACAAAAAGTGTCCCATACATAGTAGATGTTCAAAAGGTTAATTCTACAGAGAAGCTAGTTTTAAAAAAATAAATTTTAGAGAAAGAAAGAACTTCAGCCAGGTACCCTGTTCAGCATTATTTTCAAATATTGCCAAGTGTAACATTCAGTCCAGTTTCTCACACAACTTCCACTGAGGTTATATGATGCTCCAGTATCTGGATCCTCACTTTGTAGTGGGGAAGTGGAATAATGAATCTCTACAGCCTCCATTGCAAATCCATCTCACCTTGCCACATCTGCCAACCTGGCATATTCACATATGGAGTATTATGTTATGAAGAGGTGTAATGTACACAAGCAATCCAGATAGGGATAATAAATACCACAGTTTTCCTTCATACACATTCTTAATCATTAGGGTATATGGATTCAAATACCTGCAAGGTGATCCTACTTTTAACAAACTTCACCCACAACTCCCCTTGACAATTTCCTTCTCCCAAAATGAACACATGCAATTTGGTCATTAGGCTTAGATTGACTAATTCAATTGTGATTCTGGAGCCCTGGGTTATTTCGCTTGTGCTGGTGATTGACTGATTGCTTTAGATAAGCATTGTTTGGAGTTTTCTGAGCAAGGTAGACTCTGGTGGGCAGCTTCCAGAATCAGAGAGAAAAATAACCTCCACTGGGACCTCCTATACACTTATCTCCCCTGCTCCCAATTCCAGACTTAGACATGACCCAGAATTTAAGAAGATCTGAAAAAGAGAGGGCAGAAAAGTTGTATATCTTCTATTTAATTCTTTTTAAAGTACAATTAATTTACAATGTTGTGTTAGTTTCTGCTGTACAGCATAGTGATTCAGTTATATATATTCTTTTTCATTACAGGCTATTACAAGCTATTGAATATAATTCCCTGTGCTATACAGTTGTTGTTTGACCTTATTATCTGTTCTGTATATAGTACTTTGTATCTACTAATTCCAAACTCCTAATTTATCCCTCTCCCCCTTTCCCCTTTGGTAAACATAAATTTGTTTTCTATGTCTGAGTCTCTTCCTCGTTTGCAAATAAGTTCATTTGTGTCATTTTTTTTTAGATTCCACATATAAGTGATACTATATGATAGTTGTTTTTTTCTGTCTGACTTATTTCACCTAGTATAAAAATCTCTAGGTCCATCTATGTTGTTGCAAATGCATTATTTCATTCTTTTTTGTGGCAGAGTAGTATTCCATATATGAATACACCAAAACTTCTTTATCCAATCTTCTGTTGATGGACATTTAGGTTGCTTCCATGTCTTGGCCATTGTAAACAGTGTTGCTGTCAACATTGGGGTGCACATATCTTTTCGAATTGGAGTTTTCTCTGGCTATATACCCAGGAGTGGGATTGCTGGGTCATATGGTAACTCTATTTTTAATTCTTTAAGGAATCTCCATACTATTTTCCATAGTGGCTGCAACAAATTACATTCCCACCACCAGTGTAGAAGGGTTCCCTTTCTCCATACCCTCTCAAGCATTTATCATTTGTGAACTTTGTAACTATTTAATTTTTTTTGTTTATGGTGTTTAATGTTCATAGTCTGTCTCCGT